CAGTCAGTGAGGTGGAAGATACAGGCTTAACAGACGGGTCTCATCAACAGTTGACACGCTGCAGCTATGAGCTGCAGCTTGAAGCCTCACCAGACAGGGAAGGACCCGGTGCAGCAGCGACAACTACCTTCTAATCTCAGGCTCTATGACAGTTACATGCATTTTTTGAAATCTGAGCTATCTGGAAGAGTAGACTAACAGTAATCAAGTATCAAATACTCTTGAACTAAGTTACAACTCCAAGTAAATTTAGACAGCTTGGAAAAATAGGATATTAAAGTTTTTCTACCAAAAAAAAAAAAAAAAGGAAAGAAAGAAAGAGGAAAATGCTGAGGACTCTTAATAGCTTCCAAGATAACACAGGCATTATTTATTTTTTGCACAGGGATGCTGTTTGAGGAAGACACCCGCACTAGTTATTCAAATTTCAATGTTAATCAGCTAGTGGAGATTTAGTGCCAGCAGTAAGCATGTAAATGTTTAATGCCAATTTCTGGGGTTAGGGCACAGGATGATCTGATTTCTAACCTTTGCCAATTTCTTAGTAAAAATACTCCCATGATAGCTAGTGTCAAGCTACCAATGAGAGGTCGCTGGAGTTACTGAAGAAAAGGCCAATGATCATTCAATCAATGGCTACCTCACCATGGTTTTCTCCTCTCTTAACTTGGATTTTACTTTCACAATGTTAGAAGGAAAAGTCTAAAAGATGCATGTGAAGGCTGTCACTACCCTTATAAGACCTGGGTCACTGTGCAGTGAGTGGCTTCAATCACAAAGAGCACTCAGCTCGAGAGGGACCTAAGAAATCACCGCAGCCTGTGGAAATGCCCCTGCAGGCGAGGAGAGCCTGTACATGACGGGTGACACCCGCCTAACATGGTCTACCTGAGGGTGTGAGGTTGTCAGAGGACGCGGCTCTCATCAAGCAGCGCCTGCCTGGCAGGGCTGTAGATGCTGCCACAGGTTCATCAGCAAATGCAGCCGGTACCCGCAGAGCAGCGTCTACAGCACTCGCCCAGTATGCAGACCAGAAACCACCACCCAGCGCCGGGCTCAGCCAGGGGAGCAAGCTACCGGTGTCTGCGATCGAGATTCACCGCAGTAATGTGAACCCAACACAGAGCCAGATGCTCCTGCTGAGGTTCCTGGTTAGGTTCGGGGTTGTCCCTGAATCCTTGGGGCAGCGTGGCATTGCCACAGAGGTGCTTGTAGCATTTGAGACTTGGGCTAACATCTGTGTTCTTGTAGGGGGTGGGCAGGCGTCCTGGGGATTGGCAGGGGCTTCACACTGAGCTGCGTCCCAAGCCCTTTTTCAAAAGTGGTTTTTGAGACAGGGCCTTGCCAAGTTGTGCAGGGTGGGCTTGAATTGAGGATCCTCCTGCTTCATTCAGCCACCCAAACTGTTGCGATAAATGGCATGAGCCTCCATGCCTGGCTTGTGTGTGTGTGTGTGTGTGTGTGTGTGTGTGTGTGTGTGTGTGATGCAACTAAGACTCTTATTAGAACAGGTTAATATGTGTCTTAAACTTTTTAGACTAACCTGGGAGCAAAAATAAGCAGCCACCCAATGGGCACCTCGACATCACCTGACGAGCTGACGAGAGCCCCCTTTGAAGTTTTTCTTCCATGCTGACATCCTGAGTAGTGTTCTGATGGCCTTCACACCACCCACTGTGACACCGAAGTTGCTACACTGCTGCCTCCTCTCTCGGGACGCTTCCCGCTTCGGTTCTTGCCATTCATGCCTTCTCTGTTATATGAGTGAAACGCAGTCCCGAGAGTCACTTGTGTGGGGACGTTGACACAGTGCCACAGCAGCTGAAGCCGCTGGGACTCTTAGATACCAGGAGGCTGGAGAACGGCAGAGGGGCAGTGCCAGCAGTCTGTGGACATGCGACAGACACTGCTGTGTCTGGACTGAGAGTTTTGGATTGGAAAACAGATTTTCTTGATTTGAATTCCAGAGCTGCCTATGACTGTTAGCCATATAGCTTTGGAAAAATCCCATAACCTCACTCAGGCTAACTCCTCACCTAGAAAACAGGGAAAACCTTTTCTAGAAAGTAGCTTCTGAGGATCAACCAAGAGAATCTCAGGAAGCATTTAGGACAGTTTCTAAAGCTTCCAGCACACTGAACGTTAGCTATTATTGTTATAAGTTAGCTGGACAGGTGAGAGGAGAATGGATATCCCAGTAAGCACATACATTACAGCACTCCGCTTCTCCAAGTTGTACTCTCCAGGCCTTCTGCTTTTGAAAATTACTCAGATCAGTGGCTTGGTTTGTACTGCAAACACTCTTTAAAAGTGCTATTCTAATGGAAGTGGATTTGGCGAGTCCATAATTTAGAAAATGTGTGCCAGGAGAGTTGCCTCTCCCAACTCTGCATGACTTCTACCTCTTGTTCCTCAGTGGAGACCGGAGGGTGAGATTTGCAATGAACATCTTTGCCTTTAGAGTTTCACCTTGCCATACACTTTTCTGGTTTATACAATAGTTTTTTCTCTTCACACCAATCAATCCTATTTCTCTCCTCCATTTGAGCTAATTTGCTCATAGAAGGACAGAATTACTTAGCCCCGAGAGCCCGCGCAACTGGGCCTTTGTCCACTCCTTTCCAGCCAATATCCTGCACTATTATCCCCAGATTTGGTGATTCACTTATTCACCACGTATTTGCATTTGCTCCCTCATTTGATCAGTTAACTTATGTCAGAAACCCTGCTTGTGGGGCCCGGGGAAATACCGTAGTAGAATAAGTACTTGCCTGGCAAGCGCAGGGTACTGAGTTCAATCCCCAGTACTGCAAAAAAAAAAAAAAAAGAAAAAGAAACTCTGCTTGCATTAGAGTTTGAAGATTAAAAACAAGTACTTAGGTTCAGTTCACAATCAATCGAGTGTTCAAGGTACATGAGTAACTAGTAAGATCATAAGATGATTAGAAAAAAAAAAACCAATCGTGACACATTTATAAATTCCTCTTTGAAACCTTAGGAACAAACAATGGATTTTGCTGGAAAAGCTGCAAAATATTTCAGGGAAAAGGTGGAACTTTGTCCTAGGTGCTAAACCCGCTAGGAGATAACAGAAAATATTTGCCAGGAAAATGAGATAAAACCCTGATGCTGAAAGTACCCGTGACATCCGGGGAAAAGCGAGTACTCGGGTGGTATCTGAAGTACGTTTGTGGGGACAGGGTGGACAAAGCGGTTGTGAGAGGGCTGAAGAAGGCTGCACACGCACTGCGGGACTTTCTTTTTTTGTTTGGTTCACCCAGCAAGTGTTTCCACCCTTTCGTGAGAGCAGGAGACATTCCAGTCCCTGCGACAAAGCGGGCGCCCGATGCTGGCCGGGGCAACCCAGACCTCAGTGGTTGGAATGATGCGCACGTTCAGAAGCAGGGTGCGGGCCAAACCTGCGGTGCGACGGAGCTAGGTGGCGCCTTTCCTCTACGTGCCTCCAGCAAGAGCTGCCTGGGATTCAGCTATCCGCTCAGCAGACAGGGCTTGTTTGACTTGATAGATAATGAGCCCAGTGTGCAGAAAGAAGAGCCCGTGGAAACGAGATACATGCGAGAAAGAAGCGAGGCCCCAGGGCCGAGCTTGCGGCCTGCTCTGCGGCCCTGCCTACCCACCCAGTGACTTTGCTTCCACAAGCAACCTTCACACCTCCGCTGATGAGCCAGGGGTCCTTTGCCTGGCTGTCGTGAGCTCACTTCAGCCGCTGCCATTCCCACCAAAAAGACCCCGACTGACACATCCACCTGTAAGACTTCATTTTGTGTGGTTGGGAAACAGCTGCCCCACCGAAAATTTAAGAGCTGCAGTGGTTTTAAGGGGTTGAGGCTGGTTCAGTCACGCACTGGGGCAGCCACTTAGGGGCTGACCTGCAAGGCGGGTTCTGGGGATCCATTTATGTAGTTCTTTTGCCTTTCAAGATCGCAATGCTCTGTCACGGAGGCTTTCTGGCTCTAGACAGAGTCCAGTGAAGCTGGGCTCCCCAGGCCCATCCCTGTGCTGTGAGGTGGTCTCCTGCTACCTGTCCTCTAGCCTTGCCTCTGCAGCATGGTTCTAGAACTCTGGCTTGGTGGCTCTCAAATGACACCAGGATTCTCTGGTGTCATTCATCCACATTCATCCACATTCTCCATCATTACTATTCATCCACACCCACAGGGATTCCCTGGAGGGCTTGTTCAGTAACACCACATCAAGTTCTAGGTGACAGGGCTGGTGAGATGGCTCAGTGGTCTAAAGCACCTACTTAGACCAAGCTAAGCTAAGCAAAACACAGGGACCACAGTTCAATCCCCCAGCACCACATGCCCACCAGCCCCGCCCGCTGGTGGGCTGAGTTGGCCACACACACACAAATAAATAAATAAATAAATAAATAAATAAATACTTTAAAAAAAAAAGTTCTAGGTGACAGCGATGCAGATGCTGCTGGCCTCATGGCCATGCTGAGGACCACGGCATTTACCTTTCACTGTAGCTGGATTCCAGCTCAGTTGCTCATCTGCATTACTGACTGCATTGAGACGTTTCTGAAGGACTTTCTTATTTGTCTTTGTACAGCTCTCAGTAGCTACCATAATAAGGCCTTACACGACAGTGGTATTTGATACGTATTACTGTGTGACTAACTACAGATTAAACATCTCATTATAACAAATTCCTTCAATTACCATTCATTGCAATAGTCTCTCTTGGGCCGGGGAGATAGCTCAGTAGAATAAGTGCTTGCCTGGCAAGCACAAGGGCCTGAGTTCAATCCCAAAAAAAAAAAAAAAAAAAAAAAAAAAAAAACTCTCTCTCTCTCTCTCTCTCTCTCTCTCTCTCTCTCTCTCTCTCTCAAAAACAAAACAAACAAAACAAAAAAACCCCACCACACTGTGTAAGTAGAGAAGGGACTGAAAGGTGGACTTCTCTCAGGCTGCCTGCCTTGTACTATACTGACTGCCTGAACGGGCATGGGTGGTCCTGGGCGGTGTTACCTGAGGCATCCGGTGACATTGTAGAATATATCAAAGTCAAGCAAGCCATTTGCTTTGGGGTAGTCTCCTTCAGGCCACCCCGAGTAGGGGATGATGATGTTCTCAGTCAGGGTGAGCAAGGCTTCTGTTATCATGAGGTTCTTGAGTTTGTCATTAGAAGACAAATTCCACAGCAAACCTAGAAAAGCAAAGAGTTACCATGGGAACCATGCAGAGTGGAGCCACAAGGACTGCTGAAGAGTCCAGTTAAGGTCAAAAGCCCCAGGACTGGGACTAGTTATGAAAAAGGGGGAAAAGACCCTGTTTAAAGCTCATTAGACACCAATGGAAGCTGAGTCCTAAGATGTACATAGTCTGTGATATGAAATGAGGTGGGTTTAAATTAATCAGGGGTATGAATGGAAGCCTTGTTCACTGTTTCTCTGAAATGACCCTGCACAAAGTTGACATCTCTGGGATAAGTGACTCTGGGCTTGCTAACAGGCCCCATTGTAACTAAGACACTAGTGTTTCAAGAATTATGTCTTCCCTGAAAACATTGGAGACTCTGTTCCCTGCCTCCCGCTCTTCACTACCTGTAACTTTCACCTGACAATTTGTCTCGTGTTCACAGGAGGAAGAGCCTGCAGGAAGCCCCTTTTCTCTGCCTGTCAACAGTAGGCTGATTGACACTACCAACAACATTCCACCGATACCTTCCCGATGAGTGCTTCCGTTTCCTAGGAATGCCTGTTGGCTGCCTTATGGATTTCACTGTAGATGGGCGGCAGGGCATAGTATCTGATCTACCTGCCAACTCATGCTCTCTAGGTACTGGTTTA